CGCTCCCAGCACGGAAACAGGATGGGGAAAAAGCAAAGCAGGATGTCAGAAACAAGGGAGGGCAACAAGCCAGCGGGCACAAGGTAACAGCAGGGCAGGAGCTGGGGAGCTGTGCTTTCGGCATGTAACAGCTGGGCGCAGCGTCGGGACCGATACTTGTCACACCGTGCCACAAGAATTCAGGTAAAGGAGCGTTCTATGCATTATCTAAGTCAAATAACTAAAAGGGTAGATCATAACTTCGTGAGCTGTAAGGCAGAAGTTGGGGTTTGGGGTTGGGTTTTGGTTTTAGGGGGTTTTTTTGTTTGTTTTGTGGTTTGGGGTTTTTTTGCACACACCCCAACCCCCCCAAACAGTTTAAGACACTAACGGCATTTTACAGCCAGGAATCACAACATAGCCTAAGACTCATGGCAACGCAGCTTCATTAACAACAGCGTATCCGATCAATCATGCACGCTGCACCTTGTTAAGAGGATCCACTGCACAGACACACACTGATCTGTTAAAGCCTCAATTACAGAGCTGCACAGAGAGCAGCTGATGCGTATTACTTATGCTTTACTGAACCCCAGCCAGTATTCCCTGAGAAACCAGTTTGTCAGAGCACTCCACCTATTAGCAAAGGCAACGACAGCACTGGGAGAGCGCAGTTAAGTCAGAACAGGTGAAGATTTAAATTGCTGCGTCTTATTGAACAGCACCGGGGCAAGGCTCCACTCTCAGCAAACGTGCACAAACTCACCAGCTGTAATTTCAAAAAGGATTTTGTCGATTTCCATCTCTGCTTCCTCTTCCATTTCCTCCTGATCCTCCAGGCTTTCAAAGGTGTCCTCCAGCATTTCCTCTATAATACCAGCCTAGCAGAAAACAAAAAGGCAGTGCATGATGCCCTTGGAAACAGCAGAGTAAGAGGAAACACTCCTACTTTGGGGACCATGTTACACCTAGCCAGGCATTTTCAAGCTTTCCAGATCAAGGCTATCCTGCTGCACGAGGGTGGCCAACACACCTGCCTACAGTTTACGCACGTATCTGTACAACTGGTGCACAGGAAAAGCACTAAAAAAAAATTGAGGAATACACGTGTTCTCACTTTGAAACCCTCAAGCTATTATTCACTGTTGTTGCATGTCAAAACAGTGACAACCCAGCTTGCTCCAAGCATGTGAAATACAAGTGCAAGTTTCAGTCCTGAAGCATAAATTGCATAATAGGCTGTAAAATTAGTGTTTGACATAGCTTCCCTTTTTTTCCATCTGTGTTTGAAAACGTTTCTTTGCAGGGCCTGCAACCTAGATATGGCCAAATTGTTCTGGTGCATGACAGTAAAATTATTAAGGAATAAACTGATTTGAACTAAACAGTCTAGAGTGGTAAGACAAGAAAAAGCAAAACAATTTTGGTAGTTGAAAAGATAATAGCCACAGTGACAGCACGATAGATAGTGTACTTTAAAATCAGAGCACTTTCACCACATGGAGACGCTACGCTGGATGTTTCAAACCCAGTATGAGACTAGCCGTCTTGCCCAAGATGGGCATTCCAGCTCCCCACTCCGCAACAGGCTGTTGTGGTGGGTCTTTTTTAACCACCATTTTCATCCCTTGAAAGCAGGAAATTCAGTCTTCCCCAGGACAGCCAGAAGCTCAGGGATACAGGCAGTCACCGGGCACCGGCGTGAATCCTGCCGTGAGCCTCGGTCTCCCCCAGCCCTGGAGACTAGGACGACCAAGCCGCAACCGCTCTGTACAGGGACCAATCTTCCTCCTTCCATCCTCAACCTCAGCAGCTTTTTTCAGCTTCAAGCTTTACACCAAATGTGCCGCAGGTATCATCAACGCAGGATTTTCCCCACATACAGTAACTTCCTAGAAAGTCCTCAGCTATTACGTGCTGCTTTAATTTCTGTTTGGTAGAGCTCACGCAAGCCCTCTGACAAAGGGGCCACCTAAGCAATTACACAGCACGCTAACGAACACCTCTTGTTCACTCAAGGCTTATTTATGTTAACAGAGCTTACCTTCATCATCTCTTTGGACAACTCCCTCATCGTTGCTTGGATTTCAGGGATTTTTACTAGATTTTGCATAGCTTTCATGACTTCTGTGCTCTTCTGCAATGAGCCTGCTACTCTCAGAACGGCTGTGAAGGAGAGGTATAGAAAAGCTTGAACGATCCATACATCACCAAAACCAGAGAATTACACCCTTCCTACATAGACAGAAATTTGTTTACATTTAGGCAATTTAATTTAAAAAAAAAAAAAGAAATGCGCATCCCGCTTCTTCATTCTTGTCTACCTTCCTGGAAAAGCTCAACTTCTACCTACATCAGAAAAACTACGTTTATAGGAAAGATACCGGTCCTGTATGACGAGCTGGAGCAAACTAGATTGCCTGCAGAGAGATTTGAACCCACTTGCACCCAGTTCACAAAAGAGAGATCCCAGAGGAGCTCCTGCCTGCACCCCTCGGCAGCCAAAGGTCTTGCTGAGGGTTTCACCAGCAGAGCTACAGTCCAGCTCCACGTCTGACTGCTGACCAAACCAGTGACCTTCTGCCCAACATCAATTAGCAGAACCTAACTCCGGCAGAAGTTCTAGCGCAACAGTTTCACAGCAAAAAGCTAGAAAATTAATACTGAAACAGATAAGCTGGAAAGAAGTGTAGTTTAAATTGAATTTAACAATACTCTTTCCAGAGGCTATTCTCATGATATAGCTTGTAAGCTCTTCTCACATATGTTGATATACCAAGATCAAAATGCAATAATTAAGGGTATTTCGAGGTTCTTAGAATTCTAACTTTGCAGCTTCCCAGTCATGGAGAACTTACCTGTTTGTATATAAAATGGTCACTCCTTAATGAAGCAAAATGAAGGTACAGCATATATTATTTTTCATTTTAATACTTAATTTCTTTAGAGCCTTACACTTGTTAACAAACTAACAGGAATCACCTTTAGTGGTCATTTCCCAAGATGAACCATGTTAATGCAAACCCCAGACTGAATTCTAGATTCCTTCCTATTGCTCGGGTAAGCGTACCAGAACGTTCCCAGTAAGATGAAGATGCTGGTAGTGGTAATAAAGGAGGAGGCTGCTTTGAGTTTTTCCTTTTAAGGGACACCTCAGGCTGCAAGGATGGCGCCAGCTTCGCATTTCTGAATGAGGTACATGGGGAGCCACGTTCGACCTACCGTAAGACTACACTTAAGGTTAACATTGCACCTCTTGATTTATCACTCATCTAGTATTAAAATCTACTAGCACCTAGCTTGGATAATGCTGGGGTGGGGGGAAACACTTTGACATTTCAGTAGCACATTAACCTCCACCAAGTCTTTCCCTGTCTTTACTGCTTTCTGCTCCGCTCTTGTTACAGGCTGGAACGCTCTAAGGTATGGAAAATACTGCAGGAAGTCTACAGGTTTCTGATGTGGATAAGGAACGAGGGAAATACGCTGGTACTGGAGGAGCACAAAGGACCAAGTAGGGTTTCCAGAGAGCTGGATATTAAGCCACAGAGCAAATGGATTCATGTACATCCAGGAAATCAAATATTGCCTTCCCATCTCCACTTAGGACTTAGTAAGTGTCCTAAGACTCTTGCTAGAGAAACAATCATTTACAAGATGAAGGGAATTCTACTGAAGGAAATCAATGTCACGTTACAGGTCCTGTCAAAAATCAGTAACAACGGGCTCCACGAGGACACAGGGATACTAGGCACGCATTCAAATTATTTAGGAACACACACTAAAAATGTACCCCAGATTACTGGATGAGAGTTCTGTTTCAGAGCACGTGATCCTCATGTCACCACAACCCTCAGGCTCTGCGGAGAGGCGTTAGATCATCTGTTGAGCAGCTAATCAGAGGAAACACAGAGAGCCAGCAAGGATCTAGGGAACAACAAGGGGCAGGAACCCCAGGAAGTCAACTGGCAGTTCCCTGACTACTTCAGAGCCCAGAGCAGGAAACCCATCCAGGCAGAGCAATGGGGAAACAGCCTCCAGAACATTCTGCAGGCTGAAGGAGGTTATTGCCTACAGGGATATAGGACTCACTACGGGATGTGAGGGAAAAGAGCATGTTTGGACTTTGGAAAAAATTATTCTGGATCTTTTAAGAGGATTGCAGGAACGTGACTGAATGTGAGAAACTTCTTACGGGATGTTTAGGGGAACGACCCAAGATACAGAACGGGAGGGATCGAGGTGGACCAGGGAATACACAGACCTCAGGGGCCCACAGGACCAGGTACCAGCGGCTCAGGCAGAGGAGGAGATGCGGGGCCAGTTATCAGACAGCTGGCCAGCTTAGACTGGGTGTCTGAAAGCAGCTACTGGAACAACCTCTATATTGTATGCGTGTGTACATATATATACATGTGTGTTCTACTAGTGGACCTTGGTCCTAATTAGCTGAAGAGGAAGACCAGGACCAAGCTGTCAGTGTTCACGTTTGTGTGAAAGCTGCGTGTGTTTACATAGGTGCTGGCAAAGGCACTGCTGTGAGTGTCTGCAGGTGCATGCGTGGGTGCGCGTGCCTACTGGGAATAGGTGCTCAGCCTGGCTGGATGTGGGGACGTGGAACTGCAGCAGTCTCATACCTCTGGGCCTGCTACGGGCAGGAGGAATTTCCCTGGATCCTGAAGCCCACTGGAATCAACTCCCTTTCACATGAGTAGGACTGCTTCCAAATTCAAGCTCTGCCTGCATTTGACCTTGGTTCTGAAAACGGAGACTCAGACCTCACCTCTAACGCTACAGGAGTCATTGTATTCGGGCTCAGAAGTTGTTCTTACCAAGCTGGTTCTTCATCCCCATGAGAACAGAGTTCATGTGAGCTTTGGATGCATAGAGTTTGCTTACAGCCTTTCGAGAGCGGATCAGTTCCTTCGCCAAGATCACACACACATCTTTCTGACCCTTTTTGGCAGCATCCTTTATTGACCGCTTCACCTTCTCCTCTTCTCTCTGGATATCTGGAGTACAGAAAACCACAGCAAACAGTGACAAGCTGCTAACGATTTGGAAGAGAAACCAGTCATTTGTTGGGGTGTATTTTCAATGCAAAGAATCGTTTCTGCTTGATTTCAGATTCCCTGTTACTCAAAGACCTTGTTCTAGGCTGATTTACATGTTAGATGATTGAGTCAACTAAATATTAATAGGAAAATTCTCATTACTAAACATCCATTTCCTTTGCAGTTAAGAGTACTATAAAGGACTGTCCAGGAATATTACTGCGTGAAGCTGAGCTGACCAAGATGAATTCTTAAGAAGCAAAAAAGGTCCAGTAAGAACAAAGCGCTCTGAGATGACTACTTGACTTACAACTTCAGAACAAGTTCCTGACTACTAAACTGGCCTGACATAAATACATATATATATAAATACATACACACATATATAATATATACACACAGAGTTTAAGACTACTGTACTGATTTGCTGCTCACATGATTATCTCTTCCAAGTTCATCATCAGATAGCCCTGTTTCACCAGGAAGGAACAAAGTTGTCACAAGGAGTTTAAAACTAGTAGTCTCAGCAGACAGATAGGCATTTTACTAGCAAAAATACTGACCTGTCAGACTACATTCAAAGCTTAACCCATAAGCCCACCTTCAAGTGAATTTGAGGGGTGTTGTAGGCAAAATTGTCCTTGCTGTTTCTAAATCCCTGAATTGTGTTTTTCTGAAAAAAATACATTCAGAAAGACTGTTGAAGGCTGATCTCACAGAGGCTAGAAAGTTTTAGATATACACTGCCTTTAAAAAAAAAAACAAAACCAAAACCAACACACAAAAAGCCCACTTATACAGTGAATTTATAAGGGTGGGTCCACAACTTTAAGAGTTACTTAGAACCACAGATTTGTTAATTACTGCAAAGAAAAGCCTTCATCCTTGCAGACAGACTTAATTATTCCCCCTATCAGGCACAACTCATTGAGCCTCAACTGGACGCCCAACCAAGTCTATACTTGCACTTAAGGAGTTAAGGTCTTGGTTTTCTACTGTTCATACTTTAAACACACATGGATTAGATGTTCATATAAACTGGTACATTAAAATTATAAGCTGTCTGGCTGCACCAAAGCTATGGATAATTTATCAGCAAAAACTAGTATGCTGATAAACAGTCAGCTGTAACTTAAAAGGGCCCGTTCAAACTCCCCTGGTATCATTCAACAGCTTTTTGTAAGAGCATGCTGGAGCAGGAATACTGAACTAAGCCTGTACTAAATGAGCACCAAATAGTTGGATTTCAAATATTCTATACTAAATAGGCTTCCTTAAATAACATAGGTTTCTCTAGCAAACCTGATGTGACTGTTCACACGTCTGTCTCGTCAGATAACACTGGCTGTGTACAGCAGAAGCCAGGTACCTCAAAAAGCTCAGAGAAAGAAACGCAGGAACGAGCAGGGGCTATATCAACCCTCTTCCTCTTCCAGGCTCAGCAATAAATTAGCCACTGATGAAATGTGGATCTAAGAGTCCACAAAAAAATTATCCTAAAGTAAATAAACAATTCAGATGGTAAGGGTTAAGCTCACCTTCCTGCAAAGAGCTGAAGGAAACGACAACAAGAACAATTATTTCTAGCAAAGGCTTTGTTCAAATTTATGTTTGTTTGAGTCTTCTTGATTTATATCAGACAGAAGTTACACACAGGCAAGAATCAGAAGTTGCCCTTTTATAAAAACAAAGGCATCAAGACACACTTTTTGGCACAGGCCGACTTGGAGACTTCGAGGCAGCTTCTCACATGGGACTTAATGAACTCTGTACTCAAGATGAGTCATTCTCTCAATATAATTCTACGGCATCTTTATCCTAAAGGACTGGCGGAACTCTGTAGGAGTAATCAGAAAAATATACTCCTTGCTGCTTCTCCACTATTATTTGCAGAAACGCCACAAGCTTGAAGACATTTGTATGTCAGACATAGGAGCGAGCTGAGTCCTAGCACATCAGAACAGGTAAGAAACAGCTGAAGTGGTACAGCAGAAAAGAGGAAGCACCAGGAGTACTCCAGCAGCACTCAGGAATTAGGACATTCACTTTGTCAGGCTAAAAACAAGCTCAAGTATTGTGTTGTCACATCCAAACTAGCACAGGGTGGCCCCGTACTCGAGCGAATGCTTTCACTTGCATGACAAACTGCTGGACATGAAATTAGTGGCATAAATACGCAAGCACAGTCCACTCCGTCTTTGAAGGTCAGCGCCAGCTACGCACCTCTAGTGAGCCAAAGTCACTACACCAGTCCCTCTGCAGCGCTGCCAAGCACAACAGAGGCACAAAGCAGTTCACACCACCCGCGAGAGGGACTGGCAAGCTCAGTAAAGCACAAAGTTACTGTATTACTCCAACTATATTAACTCAAAAAATTCAATTCTGAAGTCGCAAAGATACCTTTCCTTTCTTCAAAACCTTCCAAGTCCTCAAAAGCAACCTACACCAAATAGAAATCACTACGACAGCAAGAGTCCAACAACAGATGGTTTGAAACAGCGTGTTGCTATATTAGTAACTGCACTGACTGGGCCAGCCAAATGCTCCAGTGATCCAAGCCCACTCAGTTCATCCCAGGTGGATCCCAGTGTTGCTGTATCAAAACACACCTAGCACAGCCTTCCCCAGGGAAATGAAGACAGATTCCAGCTCAGCATTCTTACTCAAAGATTGCAGCGATTTCCTGTGTAACTCTCAACTGAAATGATAAAGCGTGGCAGAATCCAACTACAGTGGGTAATTTTTGGGAAAACCTTCAGAGGCACGTGGCTGTTATCTTTCGGCAGCAGCCTGCTAGCCTGGTAAGTGTCCAGCAGAACCACGTACTTCCACAGCTGACACTTAGTAAGATGTGAAGTCCTAGCACAATATGGGCATTACAAAGATATTCTGTACTTTATTTTAATGGGAATTATCAGAATAGCGGATGGTTGGTGGTTAGTCTAAGCTCTGACATGCTGAACTGTATTGCTTTGAATCTAACACTCTGAAATACATATACAGACATGTTTAGAGCTGTTACTATAATTAGATTTACATCCACATGAAAATAGCAGACTGCCACATAACCCAATATCTATACAGGCCATTACAAGTATTACAGCATGCATAAATTTGAGAGAAACCCAAAATTTCAAGAAACCATCAACAGCGAACACATAGGTAGTTTGCTCCCATGGTAAGATGCGACCTCTAAAACATACTCTGTTAAGATCAGCCACGTTTCAGTTGCTCTGTGCCTGGTACTGCCACACAAAGTGCCTTGGAGAATGCAAAACAATTCACAAGCATAATGAACACCACTGTACATTGGTCTTCCTGGAAGAGGCATAAACCCTGTTCCTCATTTTACAGATGAGGACAAAGACAGACTTTGTACTGCACAAGCATCTCTCTCCAACCAACTCGTACTACGAGTGGGAGAATATATGAACCCCGTCAGTTTACTGCAGAAGTGTGTGGCTGGGGATGAATGGGGGAAGGGAGAATGTACTCATTAAGGAGTCACTCAAAACAGGCATGTGTCTAATAACCACATGCCGACACAAAATATCCTTTACCAGTACATCCCAGGGACCAATCCTGAGGGCAGGGTAGAAGACAAAAAGGGGAAAATAGAATCTAGCCCCAAACCCATTTTCAGATTCTGGGAAGGCAGGCAGAAGAGAGAACAGAATCTAAACTAGCGGCAGTGTAATAATAAGCAACTCCTCTGCTTTTCAAGACATCTTCAAAAGTGTCACGCTCATAATTTAATAGCAAAACACCCACTGAGAAAAAAAATATTTTTTTTTTTCCTCCTCTCCTCTGTGTGTAATTTTCCCAAGCGACTTTGTTTAGCATGTGTACTTCACGCCAGTACATACCCACGGAACTTTCTACATGTGGAATTACATTGATACTATTCATTAAATCAATGTGGGGGAAATTCTGGATAAGAAGTCTAACTCAGCAAACGGGATTTAAGAGTGTTATGTCTTGCTCGAAGCATACAATATTCAGGTTCTTTTGAAATTTTTACTTGGAGAACTTCACAGCTATGTCATTCTGCAACAGAGACTAAGACTGGCCCCAGGATCACATTCATCTTCCTTTATTCCAGATTCCGCTGGAGTACCCCAGGTTTTTAGATTTCACAGTCTTCCCCAATTAAAATAAAAAAACCTTGAAGGCAGACAGGGAAAGGAAAAACAAAAAACAAGACATAAGTACAAACCTCTGATCTGTCTATCAATCACTCTCATTTCTTTCCTTATCTTCAAGGACCATTCATTGACCTTAAAAAGAGAAAGTGAGAGTTACTTGAAATTCCAACTCTAAAACTATGCTTTTATACTTTCATGTAACTTAAACATTCAATACCAAAAGAAGCACATCAAAATGCACAAGCTTTAAGTTAGAAGCAATGTTTAAATATTTCATTATTCAAATAAAAAAAAGAAACATTGCAGAGATATCACCAATTATTGCACTCCTCGTAACATTCAGACAGGGAGTTAAGGAGGACGTGATTTGTGAATCAGACGCCCACTGCCTGGCTAACTTCCCACGTCACGGCGATGCTGCTGTGCAGAGGGCACTTGCCACAGGGGACTTCAGCATAAGGTAGAAACTTTGGCACGGGATGACAGCACCAAGAGTGCTATTACCCATTTCAGTCAGAAGGAACCTCAGAAAGTCTCCAAGCCAACCTCCTACTGAAACCAGGATCAAATTCAGAGTTCAGACAGGTTGTTTGGGGCCTTATCCGTTGAGATTTGATACCGTCTGAGGGCAGAGACTTCACAGACGCTCTGGGCATCTGTTCCAACACTTAATCACTCCTGTAGAGAAGACCTTTCCTCATGTCCAATTCAAAAATTCTCCTCTGGCCACCTGTGGCTGTAGGCCCTTTCCTGTCACTGGGCACACCTGAAAAATACCTGGTTCTGTCTTTACTACAACCCTATTAGAGGCAGTGAAAGGCTTTAGAGTCTTGCCCCTTCTCCTTCTCTTCTCCAAGCTAAAACAAGCCCAGTTCCCTTACCCTCTCCTCCTGTGTCATGGGCTCCAGTCCTCCACCATCTTGGTGGTCCTCTGCTACACTCTGCCCAGTTTGTCGATATCCTTCTTGAACTGCGGCCCCAAACTGGGACGCTGTTTTGCAGATGTGCCTTCATTAATGCTGAATGTAGCAAAGTAATTAACCAATCATTTGCCTCAACATGATGATTACAGCTTGCTAACACAGCCCAGTTTGCCCTCATCGCTGCAAAGGTGCACTGCTAACTCATGTTTATTATCCACGGGAAGCCCAGGTCCTCTCCTGCGGAGGTGCTGCCCAGCCAGGCCCATGCTGCACATCCCTATGTGCAGGGATGATTGTCCCACGTGCACAACCTTGCGTTGCTCAGCATCATAAGGTTCCTGCCGGTCCGTTCCTCCCACTTGCTTAGGACAGCTCTGCTCTCCAGCTTTCCTTCCCCTGCCTTTGGTGGGGTTCAAACACAGCCACCCCCTCTACAGCTTCCCTCCGGGGGACTTGCCAAGATGTCTCTGTTCCAGCACTCCTGGCTCTCCCACCACAGGGCACTGCTGGAGGTGGGGAGCAACACTTGCCCCAACCACCCCTCTGGGGAAGTGGAGACATGGGACAGGCAGCAGCAGCTGCCAGACATCCAGTTGAGAACTGGGAGCACTTGTGGAAAATAGAGAAGCAGAGAGGGGCTGTACCACACCAGAATCAAGAATCGGGAGATAACACTAGCATACGAACAGAGTGGAAGCTCTGATGCAAGAGGACATGGACCTGTTGGAGAGAGTCCAGAGGAGGCCACGAAGATGATCCGAGGGCTGGAGCGCCTCTCCTGTGAAGACAGGCTGAGAGAGTTGGGGTTGTTCAGCCTGCAGAAGAGAAGGCTCCGGGGAGACCTTAGAGCAGCCTTCCAGTACCTAAGCGGGCTTATAAGAAAGATGGGGAGGGACTTTTTAGCAAGGCCTGTTGCAACAGGACTAGGGGTAATGGTTTTAAACTAAAGGAAGGTAGATTCAAACTAGATATAAAGAAGAAATTTTTCACAATGAGGGTGGTCAAACACTGGCATAGGTTGCCCAGAGAGGTGGTAGATGTCCCATCCCTGGAAACATTCAAGGTCAGGTTGGACAGAGCTCTGAGCAACCTGATCTAACTGAAGATGTCCCTGCTCATTGCACGGGGGTTGGACTAGATAACCCCTAAAGGTCCCTCCCAACCCAAAGCATTCTATGATTCTATGCTACTTTTATTACTAGCAGCACAGATTTTACACAGTATCTAAAAAAAAACCCCTAAGTATTAAGATGACCTCTAGTTCATGGATCCACCTGCACACTGTACATGCCCATGCACAGGCCACTCAAGAAGTCTAGTTGGCTCTATGAATAGTTTCATATGAAAATCATCCTGGGTTTTATGTGATTTTTACAATTCAAATAAAAAGCTTCATCTACCTGAATAAGCTTTATAACAGAACTGTAAAAAGAGCACTCTTGAGTGCACGAGCCCAGCAGAGCAAGACAGACTCTTAGACTTTTACCGGTCTCAAAAGAAATGCTTTCACTCACAATGAACAAGACTATGTTTGACTACAGACAAGAACCACCATCCGAGTTGCCCAAGCACAAAATCTGCTGCAAAAAAACCCAAAAGCCCTGCAGAGCTCTGTGTATACACATCATGGGTTTACAGAAGTTTTGAAGGGGTTTCAGAAAGCTCCTGTATCTTTAATTGAATCCTGGTTTACTACAGGGGAAAAAAAAACCACCACCACCAAACCAAAAACCAACCCTTGCAGGACTAACTGCAGCCTTCCTTCTTGTTCTTCAGAAGAGAGCAGAAAATGTCATGTAGATTCATTCCTCGCCCTGATAAGAAGTTAACAAGCTCCCTCTTTCGAGTATGCCTAGACTAGAGGGAGAAAAGCGGGGTGAAGAGACTGAGATAAAACACGATTGAACTCTGGGCAGTCAACTGTCATGTCTCAAATGTAAGATCTTCCAGAGATTTCTATCACCTGGATTCTAGACCAAACCAACATGTCTTAAGCTTTCATGTACAAGCACAATCGGCAACTGTCAAATCAACTACAGCAGGATTCACAGATTCTGTCTCTGTGATGCACAACCCAGCACAAAGACACCATTAAACCACAACTGGCCGTATGCTGTCATCAATCCCTGCTAACTCTGACAGCAGAAAACTCTTTGACAGCTCATCCCTCGTACTGCCCAGGAATAAGCTGCTTTACACAACTATCCTCACAAAGGCAGAGCTGGGTGTTTCTGCATTCCCTGGTCTTCCCAACACTCATCACCTGCTTTGTGTATAAGAAAAGGAGGAAATCCCATTGACTCTCATCTAAACTACTGCGTGCTTCCAGTTACAGGCAACACGGCAATTTGTTGAGCAGTATTGCCGATCTCACACAGGACACCATGGATATGGCTATGAATCACGGCACAATGCAGCGCAGAGGTAGCAATGCTGGGAATAGGAGTACTTTGGCCAACTAAGCAAGGCTAATTACCCCAAGCACAATTCCATGCTGATGACACCACTCTGCTTCCACTTCTGACATAAACAAAAACGTCATTCTCACGGCACTGCATCACACCAGAGTCAGCCAGCAGAACACTAAGCTGAAATCAACTACTCGGACTACACTGGAGGAAAAAACACTTTTTAAGCTCAAACAATCCAGGCATGGCATTAAACATATAATAGATCCCCAGCTTCAGACATGTGAAATGCATCACTACCTCCTCACAAGGACTGAAGATGTTTGCCTTGTATCATTCATAAATAAATTCTCTCCCATCAACAGATAGTGAGCATACAAATGAACCCACAGCGAGTCACTACCACCACAAAAATCTCAACCCCTTCCCACCATCAGCCACCTCCTGCGGTGCTCAGATTGCTTCCTCTAGCGCTGCTCAGGGACAGTATCTTGTGTACAGCTGCTGGCGGACACGAGGTAAGTGGTGCTGTTTCCCCATCACCTAGTAAGCAGAAATAACTACTTCTTCCTTCTAAAGCTGCGTTTAGATACAGGAGGAAATAAATTTCTTACTATTAACAGGTTTCTCAATATCTCTGTTACGGTCTGTGAAGCAAACATGCCAGCCTGCAACCCAAGAGCGTGCTCATGACAGCAAGATGACCCACATAATTTCTCATCTCGGGTCAGACACATCTGTTTTCTAGCACCTCGCAGGCTTTTCTGCAAACAGCTTAAAGATCATCCACAAAACACACTGTGTTACCAAATTTGTCAGTTATGGAAGGCAAAAAAGCAGTCATCAGACATGAAACAAGAACTTACCAGTGCAGTATAACCACACTGTGCAAGTCAAAACAGTTGTCTGCTGCTTCATCCTACCACTGAAAGCAACAGCCTCCAAACCCTAGTTCTTCCTGCGGTATATCTTCCAACACCGCTCGTGAACAGAGGAAACTATAACCAACCTGTGTGGTACTCCGACAGAGGTAGAGGAAGAAAGGAAAGTACACTATCAAAGGTATATCCTTCATCTAACACTATCAAACCTGCTCCCCTGGGACTCGGTTGCTACAAAGCAGCAGGGAATATCTATGACACTGCAGCTCTTCTGAGCCTTTGACTTCGGTGTCTGTAGCCCTTCCCCCTGTTGCTTTTTTAGTACCTCTAATGTATTTGATCTTTCCCCCCACCAAATAGTGTATTTTTTTTATTAACAAATTAGTAGTGATTTATGAAAGGCAACACTGAAACCCATCAGTATCTTGATTATTTCATTTCACTGTGACATTAGAAATCTGTGGGTAGAAGTTTGGCTTACACAGTTTGTCTGTAGACCCCAAAAAAAATCCGAAACCCAAGGGCCAATATTTCAGCTACTCATATTTTTAAGATCGTCTTTGCAACAGGAGCTAGAAGCCCCTAACAAAGTGGGAGAGCATGAAGTTTGATACTAAGGGAACTAGAGAGTTAAT